TAATCCTGCAGTAGCAACCCGTATCGGGTAGTGGGATTAATTAAATGAATAAACGATGCCCATTTTAGCACTTTTTTGTCCAACGATAACGAACCGTTGGTTCATTGTCTCAGCGTTTAATGTTTAGCATCTTTTAGTAGTCCATCTAGGCTCAGCGATTGATAGTTTTTCTTCTCAGCTATAATTTAGTTTTAAAAATCATTTGTGTACAGTCAGTAATGTAATTCAGGGTTAAATTTGAAACTTGCTACGTGGCGAGATCTGCATTAATTATTTAGGCTAGAATTTTCGATACACTAGGTGCCTGAGTTTTGTTTTTTTCAGAATGTTATTCGTTTGCTTGTTATAAGCTTTTCTTTCAGTATTTGCAGTTTTGTTCAGCGCATGAATAGGAAATAATAATGTTCTAATAATATTTTTAACGGCAAGGTGGTATTTCGCTGACAAAGCTGTCCTCAGTGCTCTGAAAGTAAGTTCTACCGGTGCTAATTACTACGTATGTATTTTTTCGTGTATATGCTTGTGTATATGTACATTTGCTAATTTCATTTTCTTTAAACAGCTTCTGTAAATATTTCTACTGGTGATGACAAAAATTAAACTAGGGCGATCTGACGACCTGATGATCCCTCGGTATCTGTTATATCTGACTAATTCAATTATTGAGGCTTTTTTATTTTTTTGTGGGTTGTTTTCTGTATCTTTTTTTGTTTTAGCGTAAAATATTTTTATTCGCCGCTTCCTGTCGTTGATTTGGAGACAAATGGAGGCAAAAGGTATTCGTGATCGAAGGCCACAGTCAAGAACGTCTGCGGTTTTCAGAACAAATCATGAATCACCCTGAATGATTTGGTCTGGATATTAGACATCTCGCTTTTTCCACCGTGGAAAAGCTTGCTCTACACGAATAAAGTTGACCATCGGAGTGGCGGGCAATGAACAGGTTAATATAATATAGCATATTTTTCTGTAACAATTATTGTTATTTATATTTTAATAGTGGGGTATACCAACACTGTTGTAACAAAACGGTTGAAGGTACTGTGATCGACATGGTCAGCAAGTGCTTAAGGGCATGCATCAATATTTCATGAATGCGACAGTGATGATTTCCAGGATTGCAGTTTGTATTCAAACTATAATCGATTAGTTCTGATGGTCAAGTTTGCTAAATTTTAAGAGGGTATCAACTTTTTTGGAATTGATATTTTACATACGTGTTACACAAAATATGTATAATATACCTAGATGGTACGTTTGGTATTATTCGTCATACGCAGTGTATGGCTGGCACGATTTTTTTAACGCTATGGAGTGGTGTTTCCAATCTTGAGGTCCCATTAGTTAAGCAAGCAAGCATACGTTCCTTCCTGGGTTGATTTTTCTGCTGGTAAATTTTTTTTTCCATACTTAGCAATTATATATTGCGTGGTAATCATACACCGTTTATTTCATGATGAATCATTTGTTTAGCGACAGGCGGACTGATCCTTACTGGATGATAATCTTATATCTGATCTTTACCTGTTCTATTATTTATTATGTCTTAATTTCCGTTTTTCATTCATTGCTTTTAGTTTACCATGTCTTGCAGATATTTGGCGTTGTCTTGTTACAAGAGGGAGCAGTAGTTGCTAGCGATGAAATTTTTGGCTGTTTCATCGGTTATGTAACCCTTTTGATGCGAAGAGCCTAAAAGTGACCAGTGCTGCAACCTTATCGGCGTGTGACTTCTTTCAGACATTTTTTATGTTGGGTTTTGCTCGTAACTAATGTTCCGGTAGCTGGCTTTGAGTCCGAAGAAAGTGCATTACTCTCGTTGTAACTGTCTGTTTGCAAACATGGTCAGCTTTGAATTAATTAGGGCGTTGTCGTATAACATGTTCAGATGCGTATTCTAAAGAGGATACATGAATCTTTATTGCGGAGCTTATTAGCTGCATTGTCATTTACAAACTAAAATGCTAATAAACTGTTTTTCTGTTTACAGTAATGAATGGTGAGTGTTAGAAAAATTGTTTTTTAATGCATTTTCACTGTCGGTCGAATGATTAGATTAAAAAGCTGAGAGTATAATTCCTATTTTTTGATACAGAGAGAAGCTGCGAACGGAGGACATTCGGACGGGTTAAAACAAACGACCATTTTGTCAAACTACATGAGGCACGTAAATACTCATGAAACCAGTTTGCAAAGGTCGAATGAAATGGAAAGCACAAAGAAAAATTATGGCGGACTGCATTGTACGGCCGATGGACTTCGTCAATGACGAATTGGTAGCCAAAGGGCTTTAATTAGAATTGCTCAGCTCAGATGGGATAGTGAGCTAAAAATTGGGATAGAGATGTAGTCGACAAATCGAACGTTCTTTACCTTTAAGAACGACGGTAATTCTGTCAATAACAACGAGGGATCAAGTGTAATTTTCGGAACTACAGTCTGAAACCAAAATTTCATGCCAGGGAGAAAAACTCCGTACTCTGCGGTCGCTGTTCGCATAACACCGATATGACTAAGGGCAAAGCAGTAATTAGTGTTTACATGTGCTTTTGATTAGATCTATAGTTGCGCATTCCGTTAATCTGGGTCGTGCTTATTGAATTGTATCTGTTGGCGAGATTGTCAGCAAACCTGACTCAGGATTGGTGTAGATGAAACCACAGCTAGCCAGCTATCGAACGATTTAAAAACAACCGAAGCTTTTGCTACCTTGGTAGCATTCAAAGCATACATGGTGCACTTTTCCGTCAGCTAAGATTAAATATTGATGAGACACTATTTGGCAACACTCGTGAAGACGAATTTGGTAATAGTGGTGCTGCTCAAACTTAAATGTTGGAAATTCACTTTTCTTCGGCGGTAGTCCGTTCTTGCTGGTGCCCATGATTAGCCATTCAGTATAATTTGCTGGTTGCTCACTACTTCCTAAGTCTCAGTCTGAATTATGTTACTATATAAACTAAAGTTTGCTTGAAAATGCGTTAAGGCTTATGGTTAGGGGCTGGTTTAGCAATGATAAGGGAAACATTTGTATATTGTTTTTGGACTGAATCGGGGTCAGTTTGTAGTCATATGGTTATGGACTATACCACAGTAGTATGGATAGATTCCCATTCTGAACGGAAAGAAATTTTTGAATGAATGAGCATTCACTTAACCAGGAAGTTAAATACCGCATAACTAAGACACGTAAAACTTAATTTCAGACACTATTCACCCTCTTCATTCGCCATTATTATAAGTAGATATACTTTGCATCTTCAAAATATCAACAGTTCACTTAACGTTTCAGAATACAAGCCATCCTTAAGGGAAGATAATGCACAAATTATCACCGCACAAGTGCAAGCGGATTTTACTGTGCGCGTATAACATTTTACGTCAGACGTATTAATTTAGAGTTGGCTTTACATGCATTAATGTATGCTGTGAAAGTTTCCAGAATTCTACAGAGAAACCGAGTGTTCAAAAATTGTTTGTTTATTGGCAAAGAAAGAAATTTCTCTCACCCCTCTGAAAGGAATGCGATCTGCAAAATTGACTAATCAAGGCATATTTAGTTCGATACCGAGAATACGAGACTGAAGCTTTTTTGGCAACGTGCGGTGTTAGCTACCTTTATACGTTCACAAATAAACAGAAATCAGCAACTATTTGCCGAATCTGCAGAATTATTAAGGCAATTTCTTAAGTCTCCAGGGTCAAGGCTACAATTCCAAACAAAGTCAGGTCACCTTGCCAATCAGATGACCAAAAAAAACTTAAGTACAAAGTGCTGGTTTGTTTTTCTGTCACCCAACCGACACTACCTCCTGTCGCCCAGCTAAACAGCTCTTTCCCCGTGTATCGGAAGCAAGAGCGAGTGACCCGGCCGAAGCTTGAACTTGCGACCTATCACTACTGAGTTTGTCGCCCTATCCGGTTAGAAGCAATGTGTGGAAATGCGGCACAGCTGCTAACTGCTCAACCGGTCAATCTAGGGTAAGTGTCTCGACACACTTGAAACTCGGGCTAGCTTCTACCGAAGATCAAACGCTGCCATGGGATGGAGAAGTTTGGAAAACTTCGTCTGATGAGTCTGCTTCCGCCACCTTAAAGGATAAGAGGTTATCGAAACTGGTTAACTTTTTAACAACCAGGTTAACTTTAATCCACATCAATCATACATGTACTTTATTGTATAATACTGTAACACTTACCTTAGGTGCTTAATAAACCGGGCTTGGACTTCATTTCGCATTTACCACTGAACTTTGCATATGATTAATCAATCGCTTTCACATGCGAAGAAATACACCGACAGAGGTTGGACTAAAAGCATCTGAACACCGTATACATGTTATAACAGACTGCGGAGAGTATGATTTCGCGATTAACGGTTAAGTAGTTAATCGATTACAACCGATGTCACAGCGCGGTCTACGCCGCACACCGAATCACCGCGGAACAAGTAATAATAACCGTTTTCTCCCCAGCCAGAGCCCCAGCTGTTTTTTATTATCCAGTACGGTATTTTGTCGTCCTTCACACCAAAACCGACGATCAGCATGGCGTGGTCGAGATGAGATGGGTTGCACATCAACTTCCATGGGTGCGCAATGCCCTTGGTATAGAACATCATTGGAAAGGCATTAACCGCCACAGACACGGGTCCAACGTTCGCAACGTAATGAGCGATGAAGTCTTCGTTCTGCGGCAGCGAGACTGAGTCGTTAATGTAAAACTAAACCAGTACAACTTTTAAAATGTCTTCAGCTCAATAAAAACCAGCTTACTTTGCCAATCGTTTGGTTAGCCAGAAGGCACTTGCCACTTCTTCTCTGATAAGGGTACTCTGCCTCGAGCTTTAGACCACCAAGACGCTTGATTTCGAGGTATGCGTTAGAAGGAAGCCCCCCTGAACAGCCTTTATCCAACTGGTCACAGTCTAACAGCTCTTGTTCAGAAAGGCTAACCAAGTTTCCTGTCTTAATTGCCCATTGACCTTCCACAACGCCAACTGCCGAAAAAGCCCAACAACTGCCACAAGCGCCTAAAAATACACGTCCAAAATAATATTATTGAAGTAATCACAGTGTAAAAACCTACCTGGTACATAAATATACTAAAAAGCATGAGCTCACATATTCCCTATGTACTAATTGTCATTTATTCTTTTCTTGACGTCTGCATTGAAATCGCATTGGAGAGTCGTGCAGGTAGTCTTCTTCTTTATTGCGCCTCCCAATTCTTCTTAATTGTTTGACCTCTTCATTTTCAGCTTGCTGAATTAGGCTACAACCTGAGATTAATTTTATTCTTCCTCTTGTCTATCCATAAAAATACAATTGCTGTACACAACTGCGACGGTCTGGGGGCGTTTTGCGGATCTTTCCAGAAAGGAAGACAAAACCGCTACTGCTTGCCCAACCACGGCCAAAGACCTTGATGAAGGCCAAAAATGATCTGCAGCAGGCTGCTGCAGTCAGAATTTCTCCTGCCCAAGTTGAAAAGCTGGCACAAGAACGGGAATAGCGGAGGCACTGTTTGACCAATACTGATCGTATTTGTAGTGGGTAAAACGGTAGTCTAGCAACTGTTCTGCTAATATTGCACTCAATAGAAACAAAACTAGATACACCATTTAATATATAGTAATAATACTCTATATAATTTAACAACAGGTAGATCCACAGAATTTCAGATACTGCATATTTAGAACATGCGTTGCATAAAATGGTATATAGTATAAATCGTCGTAATACACATACACTAGAATAGTATATATTTAGTACTGGTATTAGAGTTGTTCTATATGCATATCATACTGCTGCTACATGCAGTGCGCAGTATACCTCACAGTACTACATATTTACACAGTCGAACAGCAAATGCATATAACTTAAAACTTTTTAAAGTCACTCTATTACACATATTGTAGTCCTTTTAGCATACTGTATACGCTGTATTACATGTTCTTTTCAGCAGTTATTCGAAGCAGTATTATTAAATTAATGTTTTATTAGTATC